ATTTGGCGACACCACCTCCATGGTAACTGTCGCATGTACTTCTCCACACTCAGCCTCTTGCATTTGTTTTGCTTGGAAACATATTGCTCCGTTGCAGTTCCTGGTCCGGTGACCTCAGCCTTCTCTGGGACAGCTCGTCGATGGTCTTGGAGTCCAGCAGTCGCAGCTGCTCCTGCAGGAGATGGTTAGCCTGTGGGGCAGAGGAGCAGGGTATTGGTCGAGAGTCTGGAAACCTGTGTGTGTTCCCTACCTCCCTCCTGCTTCATCCTAACATCTGGAAGTTAAATCCAAGAAGGGAACCAAATGGATGGCTTCGTGGCCCTTGCCCAAGTCTCCCCTTTGTTGGGGGATCAAGGTCAGCATCCCTCCTCAGGGGAGGTGTGGCCTCTGTTGTTTATCAGTAACCACATGTTTTATTCTCATTTTATTTCGTTGAGTGAATTTCTGGTAGCACATTGCATGCTATGAGTGTAAGAGAAATTCTACAATCAAAAAAAGTTTAAGAGGAGTAGAAGAGGTCATATTTAAGAGATCTGCTTCTCATGCATTCAGTTTGGCCTTGACATTCAGTATTTGGAAAACGGTCTTTAAAACTATGCTTATTTTAGAAAATCTTTTTTCAAATACTTGTTATCCCAGGGAGATTAGTTTATACCTTCCAGCCCCAGCTGTTGTCAGCCTCAGCCGCCTTAAGAGAATGAAATCCACCTTGTCCCTCAATGTTTTTGGCTCATGGGATTCAATTCAAGTCTGGTCAGGTCTCCTTGGCTGGGGTTTTTGTCCTATGAACAGATACTCAGTTGTGTCTCATGTGTCTACATTCACTTCTGAGTTTATTCTTGCTTGCTCAGAGCATAGTTAGGTCAGCTCCTAAAATGCATTTAGCAGAAGACTTAACAACATCAATTGCTTCATTTGTATGCAAATAGAAAGTGGTGGATAATTGTATATTATACGCCTTTGTGTAAGTTCACTTAATACTTGAAGCAGCCTTTGTCTCAAAGGAGTATGCCCTTACTGAGAAAGGGTATGTGAATGGTACATTTATTCCTAGAGAGGGCGGATTGTTTACATCATGTCTGGACTTTTGTCTAGTTAGGTAGGCAGTTCTGCTACACCAGCAACTCCATAAAAAAAGTCTATGTAGATAAAGAAGTCTGCATAGGCACTGTTCTGTGTCTTACTATACACTTCTGAATTTAGCCAACAGAGAAGTATTTGAATTGTAGTTTAACTGTAGAGCAAGAGAATACAGGCATATTGAGAGATATTGTGGCTTTGGTTCCAGACCACCCTGATAAAGTCAATATTGCAATAAAGCGAGTCAAATGCATGTTTTGATTTCCCAGTGCATATAAAAATTATGTTTACACTATCCTGTAGTCTCTTAAGTGTGCAATAGCATTGTGTTTAAAAAATTGTATATTCCTAAAGAATATGGCTAAAAAATGCTAACCATCACCTGAGCTTTCAGTGAATTGTAATCACTGATCACAGACCACCGTAGTGAATATAATAATAATGGAAAAGTTTGAGATACGAGAATTACCAAAATGTGACAAAGTAAGCAAATGCTGTTGGGAAAACAGCGCTGACAGACTTGTTCAACACAGGGTTGCCACAAACCTTTAATCTTTAAAAACCGCACTGTCTGCAAAGTGCAGTAAGATGAGGTGTGTCTATAATGGTTAAAAGGAGGAATATTAAAAGTAGCACATTTAATTCTTAAAGAGCACTGGGAAGGGATTGGGCAGTCTCGCTCTGCCCTCACTAGAAATGGATTACAGTTAACTGTGACATGCTGGTCCATCTCTTGTTCTCAGTTGTATGTTAAAGACTGGCCTGTCACCAGGAGGAAGTGTTTGTGTTCAGCAGAAATTCAAGAAGAAATACTTTTTAAAAAAACTACCAAATGAACTGAGTGTCTAAAGCAGCCAGGAAGAGGGACTGTTGTAAGGATGGCAAGGCGTAGAAATACAGCATCATGCAGAGTGAATCATGGAGAGATGGAATTGTACTTTAAAGCCAGATGTGTTTTACAGTCATAGGCTTAATGACCTGCTACAGAACATAGAGGGTGCCTTTTTGTCAAAGGCAAATAACGTAAACTTTCTCAGTTGCTCTTATTTCTAAAGGAACACCTGTGAATTTTAAGCCACATAATGTTTCTTAGGTTCAGTTACTGCGTGGTGACTAGAGCCTGCAGAGGCTGGAATACCTAAGTGCCCCGAGACATCCATTTGAAGGACGTCGGAGTGAAAGCCAACCGAACTGAGCCTACTTTAATAGCCTCTCTTCTTCATCTGTTGCTCTGGGGTGGGGTGAGGGTATAAATCTTAGCCATACTTTCTTTCCTGTGACTAGGCAGGACATAGAAGCCCTTCAGATGACCAATTCTCTGGGGGAGCAATTACTACTCACTGGCTTCCTGAGCAGCTTGATAATGTTCTGCTCCTGTTTTCAGCAGGGCTGCGGCCGGGGCAATGATTTGATAATAACAGACCCTGATTAAATTAAGGAGCCATTTGCTTCTGGATGATGATGTTGATAAAAAAGGGTTGATGTCCACACTCCCTGCTATTTTAAAGGTCAAAACAAAACAAAAAAACCCCAGTCTTTAACCACAAACTACAACAAAAAGCAAAACAATCAGTAACAGCATAAAGTTTGTGCTTTTTCTTCATTGTTACATCTGGGGAAGGGTCTGTTCTTTATTTGCTGAAATCCTAACTGGCCCTTTTTGCATCACGCTTGGAAGTTGAAATTGGAAGTGGGCTCATTGGGAAGGTGACCGTACAGTGTGTCTCTAAACTGCTAAACTCTCAGTTAGAATCAAGCACTCAGGAGCTCTTGGTTTTCTAAGCTCCTGTTTCTCACATACATACATGCATGCTCACACGTACATGTTTTTTAAGATAACAGCCTGTGCTGTAGTTGGACACTCGTAAGTGAAAGTCATTTGTATAATGGTTCTTCTAGTCTGAGACTCAGAGTAGGATGGGGCCCTCAATGTGAGCTTGTTAGAAAAGGATTTGGACTGTATCCCACCCGCAGTGTTGAGAAAAGCAAGACAAGAAGGGGCATGAAAAATCCCCTAGTGTACCACTTGCTTAGCCCCTCCGAGTCAAGAGCTTTGCAGGCATCCTTAGAGCCTGTGGGCTATGGTGGTGAAACAGGCAGGGTTGCCAGTGCCCCGCCTGGCCTGGGATGGGTTGTGCGCAGCTCCCTGATTGCTCAGGGACCACGTGGAGACTGTGATCGGTCTCTAGACCACACCTAGTTGGTGAGTGCAGCTGCTGCCCCACAGCTCTGCCGAGATCGCTGGAGTACGCACACGCCTACCTCAGACACCAGACCGGGAGGGGAACCGTGGAGCTGCTGCAGCAGAGGAGTCGCGGAAACTTTGCTGAGTGAGTGAAATGGGGAGAGAAGGAAGCTAGTGGCTGGCCCTGAGGGAAGTTTGTGATTGTTGCCTTGAGATTCCGTCTGTGGGGGAAGATAGCAGGACTGGAGCAGGTGCACAGGAGCACAGTGGGGAGAGGGAAGCCCAGAATCAAATTGATACCCACCTCTTGGCACTCCTGCAATACTGGCTCCCCACAAGGGCAAGCGTGCTGGACCATAAAGCAAACATTTTTCAAACTCCGCAGGTTGTCAAGCTTTGGAGTCCAGGGAATTGCAGAGGGGCTTCAGGGAGGGCCTGCTGTCTTCTCCCACCTGAATGGGTCTCTCCTGTTCCCTTCCCAGGCAGCCCCGACAGCTGGGGCTGCAGCTTGAGTGATGGGAAAAGAAAGCCTTACTCCACCAGGCCATTAGCAGCACTCACAGCATTAAAAATGCAGGAGGTGGATGGGAGGAGAGAGGGCCAGGGAGGAAGACTAATGCAGCAGCTGAGGCTGGGAAGAGACAGGCTTCTCTCTCCTCAAAACCCAGATCCAGATTAGGAGCCAAAGAATGAGGGGAACTTTTGGTTTAAAAGACTTCTATGGTGTAAATGCAAAGAGGGCGTCCAGCTGGTTGTTAGGGAGAAAATCAGTACTTTGGGCTTCCTTAGCCTTAGGACAGCGTGTTTACTCTTTTGAGGGCCAGGACCTAGCCTAGCTTCTTCCTGTGTCCACATTGCCTACAGCACTCCTGGCTCAGCAGCGCAGGCTTGGTGGGTGGGCTTCCGGGGGACCGTCCTCCTTGCGCGCTCAGGGACTCCCGAGTGCCCCTGCCCCGCAGGTCCTCGGGCCTCCCGCGCACGGCGATGCCGGCCTCGTCCACCATCCACGTGCTGCAGCTGCTGCGAGAGCTGCTGGCCTTCGTGCTCCTCAGCTACACGGTGCTCATCGGGGCGCTCCTGCTGGCCGGCTGGACCACCTACTTCCTGGTGCTGAAGTGACAGCGCCCGCAGCCCCGCCCCCCGCCGCGCCCGCCTCGCGCCCACCCCCCCCCAGCCGCCAGCCCCACGGCGAGCTGCTCCGCCCCCGCGCCGGACGCGCTCGGCTCGCTGACGGAAGAGCTCTGCGCCTCGCGCCCGGGCTAGGGCTGCCTCTGGAGGCACGGCCACGCCCGGGTTGGAGTCCAAGCTCCCCTCACGACGGCCGACTCCGCTCCGCCCGCTCCTCGCCCTCAGGCCCAGGGCCCGCCCCGTCCCCGCGCCGAAGCTCCGGCCGTTGGGCGTTCGCCGCAGCCGTTACTGGCGTTACCCTAAGCCCCGCCCCCTCCCTCCCTCCCGTCCAATCCCGACTGCTTCTTCGGGCTGGGGTGTGGTCATGGGGCCAGGCCCGCTCAAGAAGAGGCCGCGCCCCGTTCTCCGCTCATGAAGTGGCGTCACTTCCGGCGTGTGCGTCTGGCGGCTGGCCGGCGCAGGATGGCGGCTCTGAGGAGCTGGCTGTCGCGGAGCGTAGCCTCCCTGTTCAGGTACCGCTGCGGTCGGGTACGAGGGCAGCACCGCAAGGGGGGAGGCGCCGCAAGTAGCGCCGTGGCCGGGACGGCAGCGCCGGCGTAGCCGGCGCTCGTTTCGCTCCTCGGCCGAGCAGGCCGCGGCGTCCCGCCCCTCTCAGGTCCGAGGACGTCCCGGCTCTGCCTCCCGCCTCCCGCGGCCAAACCGGGGTTTTATTTCTCTCTGACGGTTTTTCCATTATTCCACCGGCTGAACGCCAGTCCTCCTCCCTCCCCAAGCTCGGGCTGGCTTCCTGCGGCGCCTCGGCCTGCCCGCGAGTTCCCGTTGGCCCATCGCCGTCACTGGAAGGAGATGGGGGAGCGGCCCGGGCGAGCGGCGGGTTATGAGAGGAAGTTTTCCCTGCGGGCAGGAGAGGAGCTGGTCGGTCCCCGCGCGGCCCTGCTGGCTGCGGGTTCCGGGTGTGACGTAGTGGGGACCATCGGGGACACCTGGCAACCTCGGCCGCAGGTCCGGAGCTAAATGCTGCGTGCAGCAGTGTTTATTTTGGCCGAAGGTTTTTAAAAAGCTTTGAGACTGCCTTTTAAACTTCCACACCTGTTACCGATGAAACTTCGAAATCACTGGGCGCGCATCCCTGCGCGGCCGAGGTTCCCGAGAGTTGGGTAGCGGTTGCCCCTTCCAGCGAGTCCGAGGCTTTCCAGTCCGACACGCTCTCCCCCGAGCCCTGTCACCTGGAAGGCCGACCCAGCATCTTCGTGTAGGCTCCTGCGTGGCCAAGTGTGAGTTTCTAACCCCTGCCAACAAATTGAAGAGACTTACAGATTGGTAGTCACCGCCTTCCTAAATTTGACTTGTGTTTCTAGGTACAGGCAGTGTGTTCCTGTCGTGGCTAACTTTAAGAAGCGCTGCTTCTCAGACTTGATAAGACCATGGCACAGAACTGTGGCAGTTGGATTTGGTGTGACCCTGTGTGCAGTTCCTATCGCACAGGTAAAAATCCCGTAGTGTCGGTGGGTGTTTGTTAGTGTACAGTGCCCTCCTGAAGTCGCAGCTGGGCAGTGAACCCTCAGCTCTTCGTGTTACCCAGTGCTCCCCCACCCACGCGATGGTTTACTTTCTCCTATACCAGCATCATCTTTTCATAGCTGAGCAAATATATTAATATTCCCATTTTTAATTGTCCCATTTGGTAGGAACAGTATGTCAAGGTGGTCAAATTGCATAAAGAGGGAGGAGAATAAGATGAGGATATTACAATCTGTCAGCAGAATAGTCTTTCATTCAACAAAAATTTATTGAGTAACTTTAATGTGCCACATGTTGGAAATGTAAGAACAAAACAGAATTCCTGCTCTCATAAAACTTGCATTCTGGGGTGGGGGCGCCTGGGTGGCTCAGTCCGGTTAAGAGTCCAACTCTTATATGTTTTGTTTTTAACGATTTTATTTTAGAGAGCAGGGGCGGGGTGGGGGTGTGAGGAGCAGAGGGAGAGGGACAAGCAGACTCTGCACTAAGCCCAGAGCCCTACCCCAGGCTCGATCCCACAACCCAGAGATCATGAACTGAGCTGAAATCAAGAGTCAGCAGCTCAACCTACTGAGACACCCAGGTGCGCCAAGCGTCTGACCGTTGGTTTAGGCTCAGGTCATGATCTTAGGGTTGTGAGATCGGGCTGCATTGGCCCGGCATGGGGCTCCACCCTGGGCATGGAGCCTGCTTAAGATTCTCCCTCTCCCTCTGCCCCTCCCCCCATCTCTCTCGCTCTCGCTCAAAAAAAAAAAAAAAAAACACCCACATTCTAGGGAAAAGAAAGGGGAGAAAATAAATATAAAATGCTACCTGATGAGTGCTATGTAGGAAGCAAATAGGGTAAGAATATAGGGGGACTGGGAGGGAGTTGTTTTATTTTAGATAGGAGAGTTTGGTCCAGGAGGGCTACTCTGATAAGGTGATATTTAAGTTGTGATCAGAATGATCTGAAAGAATGAGCCATGGTAATATCTTGGAGAAGAGTTTGCCAGGCAGAAGGAACTCTTGAGTGCAAAGACCTAGAAGCAGGTGTGTGTACCTGATATGTTTGATGAACAGCAAAAAGGTTAATGTGGCTGGAGTGGAATGAGAAAGAGAGCGTAATAGACAAAACCAGAAAATTAGCTGAGACTCACATTGTCTTGTCCTTTTGAGCCATTGTAAGGCTTTGAATTTTATTCTGAAAAGGAAGCCACAGAGGAATTTAACACAGGCTGTTACCATCTCACATAAGGTTTTAAAGGTTGCTGTGTGGACCTAGGAAGACCAATGGGAGATTGTTGCTCTAGTCCAGGCTTGGAGTAGGCGGGCAACAGTGTAGGTGGGGAGAAGTGGACCAAATGTGGTCAGCACGAGTTGCTGATGGATTGAATGTGGAGTATATTCCAGGGTTTTTGAAAAAGCCTAAGCGCCTGAAAGAATGGAGTTACCATTTATTGGAGTGGAGGGGAAGTATGTTTGGGGAGGATGAAATCAAGAGTTAAGTTTTGGAAATGACAGTCTAAAATGTCTAGTAGACATCTAGGTGGAGTTACCACGTAGGTGATATGAAAGTGGTACCTTATTAAAAAGATCACTGGTTATATGCTTTCTGCGAAAGAACTCAATAGGAAATTAGCAAACCCCATTTCGGCAGAATATTTCTGATACTTATATGTGTGTTTATCACAACAAGATCAATTCCACGGGCGCCTGGGTGGCTCAGTTGGTTAAGCGTCTGCCTTCAGCTCAGGTCATGATCTCAGGGTCATGATCTAAGGGTCCTGGGATCAGCCCCACATCGGGCTATCTGCTCAGTGGGGAGCCTGCTTCTCCCTCTGTTCCTCCCCTCCCCACTTGTGTTCTCTCTCTCTTAAATAAATAAATCTTAAATGGAATTGATCTTTTAATCACAAATCTTTTCAGCATTTTCTGAGGCTTTCTCATGAGCCTGCCTCTTTTTGTTCCTCACACCAAACCTCATCTCTGCTTGTTCATAGAATTGTTAATCCTAAAACCCTTACTTGAGCACCAGGCCATTTTCTGCCACAATTAGGATAGCCTTTCTTCTTTCCTTCAAAAGAAGTTTTTGGGTTTGTCCTTTCTCAGTTCATACACTTTTCTTAAGCCCCAGTTAACCTCAGTTCTGGGCCACATGACAAGAGCCTCAGGTCATTATCCTGTAGGAATGGCCATTTCACTTCTGTTCTTCAGAACCTGCAGCGGCTCTCCATTGTGTGTTGCAGAACTAAAACCCAGCCAACTCTCCCCGTACTCCAGTCTCCTTGTTCTCTTACCTCCCTTGTGCTATCTATCTGTTGGAACCAGGCCAGATCCCTGAATGTCCCCTGCATGCAACAGATGTATCTTTTCCTCATTATTTCTTCATCCCCAGGCTGCCTGACAGCTCTCTTCCCAGCTGTCTTCAGGCCCAGTCCCACCTCTTTTTAAAGCCTTGCAGAGTTTCTGGCCAACAGTGATCTCCCTCTTTCTGACCACTTGTGTTGTATTTTGATATTTGATGATTACACTCTCCTGAGTCAGCAGAGCATAATGGAAAGGGTACAAAAGTTGACGAAGATGTGGTTTAAGGTCAAATATGTGACTTTTTGGGAGAGAATGTAATTATTCTGGGTTTCCATCTCCTCATCTGTAAAAAAGAAGTGATAATACCTGGCCTGTCATGAGGAACAAGTGAAACGCACTGTAAAATGCATTATGGGTGGATCAGTCGGTTAAGTGTCCGACTCTTGGTTTTGGCTCGGGTTGTGATCTCAAGGTTGTGAGATCAAGCCCTGTGTTGAGATTAAAATAAAATGCATTATGAAGACATAAGTTAGAATATATCAGAATTAGCTTCCAATGAGCAGAAATAATATTCTTTTCAGTCTTCCTGTACCTTCAGTGCAAGGTATGTAATGAATACTTATTTGAATGGAAGATAAATATGGTAAGTAAAATTCTGGATTTGTTCATGTGTCAAAGATTTCTTGACTGCTACTTTCAGTAAGTGATTCTGTGGGTTTATACTCTAGCAAAAACAAGACTGCATATGATTAGAGGAATTGGTTTCTTTGTTCTGATACAATAAATGCTCTGCTGAGGAAGGAAAAGGCAGAGTCAGGGATGACCTGAAAGTAGAGCATTCCTGTAAAACCTTTCATAATTCAGCATAAAGTGAAGAATATCTTTCCAAAAGTTCATGTTATGCCACTTTGCTTTTTACAAAAGACATTTAGTACAGTAAAGGCTTTTTTTTTCTTTGTAAACTTGAAAATCCTCTCCGGACTTCTTTTGGTTATTGAAATCAGGTACTAAATACAGTCAGGTACCTTAAAAGCAAAGAGACATAGCGCAAACTTTTAGAAAGCAGGGAATACTTGAATTTAGTTAAGGCAGCCACATTTCCTTAACTCTTGAGATAGTTACATTGGCTTTTTTTTTTTTTAACATAATAGCTGAGGTCAGAGTGAAGTGTCCCCAACCCCTACCCAAGACTGTACTGTTCATTCTGCTCGGAATTGCTCTCCGCCATCCACCCATTTACTTTCTTAGACTCAGCTTATCCCTTATCAACTCTGTGAAGTCTTTTTAAGCTATTTTCATTCAACATAAAAGTGATTGTTTTCTCATGCATGTCCCTGCTTGTAGCTTATACAGACTTCTGGGTGCCTGGGTGGCTCAGTTTAGTGTCTTCCTTCGGCTCAGGAAATGATCTCAGGGTCCAGGGATCAAGCCCTGCATCAGGCTCCATGCTCAGCAGGGGGTCTGTCTCTCCCTGGTGCGTGCGCACTCTCTCCAAATAAATCTTTAAAAAAAAAAAAGACACTTATACAGACTTCTGCCACCATGGTACTTGATTGCATTAATTTTTCAAGTTCCCTGTTAGCCCCAGCTCCTCCCCTTCCCCATCTGAAATCTTTGAGGACAGAGAATAGATCTTACATATCTTCATATCCCAAGTATCTAGCCTGTGGTAATGAATCATAATTTCATCGAATTTGTTATAATTACTAGACTTTTATTTCATATAAAGAAATGCTTGGCTATTTGGAACATAGCATAAAGAATAAAAGTAGATAGAAAGCATACTTTGGAATTATTTCCATATATTGTCTTTAATAGCCAAAACAAAGCTTAAAAAGAAAACAAGCAGTTGCAGTGTGAGAAGTGTTTTTCACTTGTTTCTTCAGCTGGTTCAAGCTTTAGAAGTTGAGTGAAATGTTTATGTCTTTCAGAAATTGGAGCCTCATTCTCTTAGTAATGATGCATTAATGAGGAGGGCTGTGTCTTTGGTAACAGATAGCACCTCCACCTTTCTCTCTCAGACCACATATGCATTGATTGAAGCAATCACTGAATATACTAAGGTAAGTGTCTTCTTGTTAAGTCTTGATCTTCTAAACCAGGGGTTAGCAAACTGTGGCTTGTAAACCAGATCTACTGTGATGCCTGTTTTTGGAGTTTTAATGGAGCGTAGCCAGGCTCATTTGTCTATATGTTGTCTAAGACTGCTTTTGTGAGTTGAATAGTTGTAACAGAGACTATAGGGCCCATAAAGCCTAAAATATTTACTCTGGACCTTTACAAAAGTTGGCTGAGCCTTTGACCTAAATCAGTGATTTTTAGATCTTTAAATACAGCAGCCCAGTAAAGACAAGAAAGCCAAGCTGATTGAGTTCAGTTATGGGTAAAGGGGTCTAGAGTCTACCACTCACAGCACCAGGGATTTCGCTGTGGAGACAGTTTGAAAACCACTTACCTGAGGTAGTAGAGAGGTATCTGGAGAATCCAAATCATTTATAGGTTTATTGTACCTTCATTTTTCAGCAGCTTTTTCCCTCCGCCTTCTGAGTTTTCCCTCTACATTGTATTCTCTATGTCTGAATTGCTAACAAGCTTTTATAAACACAGAATTTGACAAGTGGAAATACTTATGTCCTGGAATAATGCCTCTACCTCCTACAGTCATGCAGTTTCAGTGAGGTGGAAGGACTGAATAGTTTGCTGTAATGGGACTCTTTCCTTGGGGTATAAATCTCACAAATCCTAATATGCCTCACTTATTTTACTCATTTATTCTATATTTGTAGGCCGTTTATACCTTAATTTCTTTGTACCGACAATATACAAGTTTACTTGGGAAAATGAATTCACAGGAGGAAGATGAAGTGTGGCAGGTGATCATAGGAGCCAGAGTTGAGGTAAACAAAATGTTAATAGACGTTTCTGTATTAGTGCGCCTACCTCGTTGTGGTGTCTTATAGTAACTGTTCTCTAAATCTGTTTTGAATAAGCCCATGTTAATGTGCTTATTAACCTCTTCATGTTGGCTCAAGTGCTGTGTTTAATTTACAGATGACTTCAAAACAACAAGAATACCTGAAGTTGGAAACCACTTGGCTGACTGCACTTGGTCTTTCAGAGATGGCGGCAGAAGCTGCATACCAAACTGGTAGGTTCAAATTGTCACTCCCTAGGTGCCATCTGAGTTTTCATCTGGCTGTAAAATGAGGGATTTACATTAGTCTAAGGCCCATGTGGCTCTAACTTTGTGAGAAAATGTCCCCATTTCCACTAGCTAGGGAGTCCATATTCTAGAAAACGACACAGCTATTGCCAATTAGAATAATTGCATCTAAATCATCTTTAAGCATTTTATTCTTTTTATAACCCCATATTTATTGATAACTGGTCATACAGTGGCAGAGTTGGAGGAGACTGAAGACCACTAATCTGTATGAACCTTACTGTGTAGATGGAGAAACGGAGACCTGGAATCCTAGTCAGTGGCAAATCCAGGACAAATAATAGCTACCATTTATTTAGTACTGGTCTGTTTCACACTTGCAGTAAGTATTTTATAGGATTTTTAATTTAAGGAACTGTGAGGATTAGTATCCCCATGTTACAAATGAAGAAAATGGGGACCAAAGGGTTAAGAAATGCACTGAGATACTGGGTACAGTAAGATTCAGCGCAATGCTAAGCCTCTGCACCTTTGTATCCCAATATAGAAAATGCAGTTATTCATTCACCAGGATGTTTTCTGAACCTCTCAATCCACCCAGTGGGCTTGAGCTGAAGGTTTTTAACTAAATATATTTTGAAGAAAACTAGTTTATTCTTACCTGAACTGGTCTCAAACTGGGTAGCTCATAGAAATTTTTGTTTTCTGACTCTAAGATAACAAACTAGGGGCTCTAGTACCAAATCTTAAAAAGGATATAATTAATATATATTTTTAGAAGTTAAAAAAAAAAATCTTAACTAAAGGAATCCGAGATCCTAGAAGCACAAGTGGAATGAAGAGTGAAACATTAGAAACGTGAAAGCATTATAGCAGTGCCACACCAGAGGTGGGAGCAGAGTTTCTAGGTACAGTGAACAGGAAGGTTTGCTGAGGCATTCCAGTGTGAACATTCCCAGGCAGCCTTAGATTGAGCTGGAGAAAAGGGAAAGTAAAGTGTAAGCATCATCTGGGAAAAAAGACATTTTTACAAAACTGATTAAAAGGGCTCAATAGGGCACCTGGGTGGCTCAGTTGGTAAGCGACTGCCTTCGGCTCAGGTCATGATCCTGGAGTCCCAGGATCGAGTCCCACATCGGGCTCCCTACTCAGCAGGGAGTCTGCTTCTCCCTCTGACCCTCTTCCCTCTCGTGCTCTCTCTCATTCTCTCTCAAATAAATAAATAAAATCTTTAAAAAAAATAAAAAGGGCTCAATATAAAATATACAATTTTTATATACTTCCTTTATGTACTTCCTTTGTAATACTTAAACTATAAGAAGATTTACCTACAAAGGAAGTATAATCAGATATGGCTTCTGATCAACAACTCTAGATGCAAAGTGACAAATCAATAACCTAGAATTTTATATCCACCCAAATATCATTTTAGACATAAAAATACTCGGTTTACCAACCACATATGCTTTCTGAAGAAACTACTTTGTGAAGAAAAAAATTAGGAACAGATGTAAGAATGAACAAAATTCAGTAAAACTTAAATTTTTTTAAATCCGTTTGGGGAAGAAGTGAAAGCATGCCAGTAGTTTTGAGAAGAGATAGACATCAGCTCAACATTAGACCTTGCTAAACAAAACTTGATAAATGATTTTAAGACAGGGAAGTTTTAAATTTTTATTTTAAGATTTTATTTATTTGAGAGAGAGCAGGAATGCAAGCAGGGGGAGTTGGAGAGGGAGAAGCAGGCTTCCCACAGAGCAGGGAGCCCGATGCAGGGCTCTATCCCAGGACCCTGGGATCATGACCTGAGCCAAAGGCAGACGCCCAACGACTGAGCCACGCAGATGCCCTGACAGGGAAGTTTTAAAAGAAAAAGAGGAACAAGTTCCAACATGAGTCATCACAATAACTATGAATATGTTCAAAAAAAATAATCACAGCTAGGGGTGCCTCAGTGGCTCAGTTGGTTAAGCATCTGCCTTCAGCTCAGGTCATGATCCGAGCATCCTGGGATCAAGCCCCACATCGGGCTTCCTGCTCAGTGGAGAGCCTGCTTCTTCTCCCTCTGCTGCTCCCCAGCTTGTGCTCTTTCTCTGGCAAATAAATAAAATTTAAAAAAAAAGTTATAAAAAGCTAAACCAAACCATTATTAAAAGAAAGCTACCCCAAAAAGCTGGCAGAACAATGTCAGAATAAGGATTCAAAACTAAAAGAACATTAAGACAATTGAGAAGATATTCAGAGTAATGGTCATAAAGAGATATTGGACTTCAGAAAAAAGTGGATGAACTCAGAATTTCAACAAAGAGAAAATACAAAATAAAGGGTGCCTGTGTGGCACAGGTTAAGCGTCCCACTCTTGGTTTCAGCTCAGGTGGTGATCTCAGGGTCGTGAGATCGAGCCCCACACTCAGCACAGAGTCTGCTTGAGATTCTGTCCCCCTCCCGCCCCTCCTGCTCTTGCTTTCTCTAAAACAAAGAACAACAACAACAAAAAAACCACCAGAGGTGAAGAATTCAACTGAAATAAAAAAAATGCACTAGAATGAATCAACAGCAGATTAGAAGATGCAGAAGAATGGGTCAGCAACCTGGAAGACAGCATGATGGAAAACAAGCTGAAGGGCAAAAATAAAAAATGAAAACAGGTTAAGGATACTCGGTGACATCAAGTATAACAACATTTGCATTATAGGGATCCCAGAAGAAAAGAGCTAGAAGGGGGCAGAAAACTTTCCTAATCCGGGAAAGGAAACAGACATCCAGGTCCAGGAAGCAGATAGCTCTTAACAGGATGAGATCCACACCAAGACACAATTTTTACAAAAAGTAATGATAAACCGAATCTTAGAAACAGCAAAACAGTTACATGCAAGAGATTCCCCGTAAGGGGTATTTGATAGCTGGTTTTTCAGCACAAACTTTGTAGGCCAAAAGGAAGTGGCATAATATGTTCAAAGTGCTAAAAGGAAAAAACCTACAACCAAGAATACCCAGCAAGGTTATCATTCAAAATATAAGGAGAGGTAGTTTCCCAAACAAAAGTTAAAGGAGTTCATCACCACTCAGGAAATGTTAAAATTCTGAAAGGAAAAAATTTCACAAGTAAAAGCAAATGTATTTGGTAAAAATATTATTCACTTAGAAAGCCAGTATGGTGGTTAAACCACAAAAGTAGTAAAAATCTATTATATCTACAAAAATTAGTCAAGGAATACACAAAGAGATGTAAAATATGACATACATAAAACATGGGGAGTAAAAATGTGCTTTTAGAATGTGTTCAAACTTAAGCAACGAACTTAATATAGACTACTATGCACATAAGATGTTATATATGAACCTAGTAGTAACCACAAATCAAAAATATATAATAGATACACAAAAAATAAACATTAAAGAAAGCCATCAAACTTGGAAGGGAAAAGAACAAAAGATGAAAGGAACAGAACTATAGAAACAGCCAGAAAACAATTAACAAAATGGCAGTAAGTACATACTTATCAGTAATTCCTTTAAATGTAAATGGGCTAAGTGTTCCAATCAAAAGACATAGAGTGACTGAATGGGTAAGAAAAACAAGACCCATCTATAAGCTGCCTGCAGGAGACTCACTTCAGACTTAAAGACACATATAGACTGAAAGTGAAGGGATGGAAAAAAAAAAAAAATACACCATGCAAATATAAGCGAGACCGGTGGGGAGGTGGGGGGAACCAAGGTAGTGATACTTCTGTCAGACAAGTAGACTAAGACTGTGTGGGGCACCTGGTTGGCTCAGTCAGTTGAGCATCTGCCTCTTGATTTTGGCTAATATGATCTCAGGGTCATGAGATCAAGCCCCATATAGGCTCCACACTAGGCATGGAGCCTGCTTAAGACTTTCTCAGGGTGCTTGGATGGCACAGTCAGTTGAGCATCTGACTGACTCTTGGTTTCAGCTCAGGTCATGATCTCAGGGTCATGAGATCGAACCCAGCGTCAGGCTCCACACTCCACTCAGAGTCTGCTTAAGATTCTCACTGCCTCACCCTCTGCCTCTCCACCCCCCACAAGCACACTCTAAAATAAATCTTTAAAAAAAATTCACTCCTTCCCTCTCCGCCTCCCCGTGTGTGCATTCTCTCCCTAACCAAAAGAAAAAAAAAAAGGAATCAATCCAAGACATAACAATTGTAAATATGCACCCAACATAGGAGCACCTATATATAGCAAATATTAACAGACATAAAGAGAGAAGTTGACAGTAATCCAATGATAGTAAAGGACTTCACCCCACTTACATCAAAGGATGGATGATCCAGACAGAAAACGAGGAAACAATGGCTTTGAACTGCACGTTAGACCAGATAGACCTACATTCACACACACAACATTCCAGCCCAAAACAGCAGAATACACATTCTTTTCAAGTGCACATGGAACATTCTTCAGAATAGATCATGTTAAGCGATAAACCAAGTCTAAGTTTAAAATTGAAATCCTATCAAGTATCTTTTCCTACCACAACAAATTGAGACAAGAAATCAATTTCAAGAAAAAAACCTGGAAAAATAAACACATGGAGGCTAAACAACATGCTACTAAACAAGTGGGCCAACCAAGAAATCAAAGAGGAAATCAAAAAATACATGGAGAAAAATGAAAACACGATGGACTGAAATCTTTGGGACATGGCAAAAGCAGTTCTGAGTTTACAGTAAAACAGGCCTACCTCAGGAAACAAAACCTTCAAAAAACCTAACCTTACACCTAAAGGAGCTAGAAAAAGAACAAACAAATCCCAAAGCTAGTAGAAGGAACAAAATGATAACGATTGGAGGAGAAATAAAGTTTTAAAAAGAGAAAAGATCAGTGAAGCCAAGGGCGCCTGGCTGGCTCTTGATCTTGGGGTTGTGAGTTCCAGCCCCAAATTGGGTGTAGAGAATTTTCAAAAAATCTTAAAAAAAAAAAAAAAGTGAAGCCAAGAGTTGGTTCTTTCAAAAGATAGAGAAATTGATAAACCTTAGCCAGACTCATCCAAAAAAAAAAAAAAAAAGTACTCAATTGGAACTGGAATAGAAGTACCAACAACACCACAGAGATACAAAGGTTTAAGAGTATGAATAATTATATGCCAACAAGCTGGACAATCTAGAAGAAATAATAAATTCCTAGAAACAGAAAATCTTCCAAAAGTGAATTAGGAATAGAAAATTTGAACAATTATTAGTAATGAGATGGAATAAAAAAAAAAAAAAGTCCAGGGCCAGATGGCTTCACCAAATTGAATTCCCCCAAACATTTAAAAAGAGACCTATTCTCAAACTACTCTGAAAGATAGAAGACAAAAGAAAATTCCCAAATTCATCCTACAAGGCTAGCATTACCCTGGCACCAAAACCAAAGACACTACAAAAAGAAGAAAACCAGGGGTGCCTGGGTGGTGCAGTTTGTTAAGCTTCCTACTCCTGGTTTCAGTTCAGGTCCTGATGTCAGAGTCACGAGATCAAGCCCCTGCATCAGGCTCGGCACTCACCAGGGAGTCTGCTTGGGATTCTCTCTCCCTTCCCCTCTGCCCCTCTGCCCCCAAGCAGCACACGTGCTCACGCTGTCTCAAGTAAATATTTAAAAGAAAACCAGAAGCCAGTACCTCTAATGAACATAGATACAAAAATCCTCAATAAGATATTAGCAAACTGGGGCGCCTGGTTGGCTCAGTTGGTTAAGCATCTGCCTTCACCTCAGGTCATGATCCCGGGGTCCTAGGATCAAGCCCCGAGTCCAGCTTCCTGCTCAGCGGGGAGCCTGCTTCTCCCTCTCCCTTGGCCTGCTGCTCTTTGTGTTTGTGCTCACGCAAGCGCACTCTGTCAAAATCTTTTTTAAAAATATTAGCAAACTGAAATCAATAATACATTAAAAAGATCATTCACCAAGAACAAATGAGATTTATTCTAGGGATGAAAGGGTGGTTCAATATTTGCAAATCAGTGTGAGCCCTCACAATAAGAGGAAGGATGAAAACCATAGGATCAATAGATGCAAAAAAAAGCCTTTGACAAAATACAACATCCATTCATGTTAAAAACTCTTAATAGAGTGTGTTTAGAGGGAACATCCCCCAACATAATAAAGGCCATATATGAAAACCCCACAGCTAACATACTCAATGTTTACAAAAAAAAAAAAAAGATTAACAAGGGGCACCTGGGTGGCTTGGTTGAGCATCCGACTCAGTTTCAGCTTGAGTCATGGTCTAGGGGTTGTGGAATCGAGCCCTCTGTTGGGTTCCTTGCTGGGCACAGTCTGCTTTGGTATTCTCTCTCTCCTTTTCCCTCTGCCCCTACCCCTGCTTGTGCACGCGCGCGCGCGCGCACACACACACACACACACACTCTAAATAAATAAATAATAAATAAATAAAAGCTTAATAAACCAACCATTTACAATTGCACCCAAAGCAATAATACACCTGAGGGCGCCTGGGTGGCTCAGTTGGTTAAGCGACTGCCTTTGGCTCAGGTCATGATCCTGGAGTCCCAGGAATTGAGTCCCACATTGGGATCCCTGCTCAGCAGGGAGTCTGCTTCTCCCTCTGACCCTCGTTCCTCTCGTGCTCCCTCTCATTCTCTCTCAAATAAACAAAATCTTTAAAAAAAAATAAAAAGCAATAATACACCTGGGAATAAATTTGTCCAAGGAGGTGAAAGACACATATAGTGAAAACTATGACATTGGTGAAAGAAATTGAAGACATCAGAGATGTAGAGACATATCATGCTCTCATGCATTGGAATAATTATTATTGTTTAAATATCCATACTCTCCCAAACAAGCTACAGATTCAATGCAACCCTATCAAAATGCCAATAGTATTTTTCACAGAACTAGAATAATCCTAAAATTCGTATGGAACCATAAAAGACTTTGAATAGCCAAAGTAATCTTGAGAAAGTAGAACAAAGCTGGAGGTATCAAAATCCCGGATTTCAAGATATACTACAAACCCATAGTAATCAAAACGATGTGGTACTGGCACAAAAAGAGACATAAATGGAATAGATAGAGAGCCCAGAAATGAACCCACACCTCTGTGGTCAATTGATCTACAACAGAGGAGGCAAGACTATACGATGGGGAAAAGACAGTCCCTTCAACAAATGGTGTTGGGAAAACTGGACAGCTACGTTCAAAAGAATGAAACTGGACCACTTACTTACACCATACGCAAAAAATAAACGGATTAAAGACCTAAGAGTGAGACCAGAAACCATAAAACTCCTAAAAGAAAGCATAGGCAATCTCACCCTTAACAACATCTATGTATGGATAGGTCTCCTCAGACAAGGGAAACAAAAGCAAAAGTAATTGGGACTACACCAAAATAAAAAACTTTAGCATAGCAAAAGCAGCTGTCAGCAGAACAAAAAGGCAAGCTAATGAATGGGAGAAGATACTTATAAATTATATATCTGATAAGGGGCTAATATCCAAAATACATATAGAACTTAACACCAAAAAACAATCCAGTTAAACAGGCAGAGGATCTGAATAGACATTTTTCCAAAGAAGACATACAGATGGCCAACAGACACATGAGAAGATGCTCAACATCAGTAATCACCAGGGAAAGGCAAATCAAAATCACGAGATTGCACCTCACACCTGTCGGAATGGCTCCTATCAAAAAGACAAGAAATAACAAGTATTGGCCAAGATGTGGAGTAAAGGGAATGCTTGTGCACTGTTAGTAGGAATGTAAATTGGTGCAGCCACTGTGGAAAACAGTATGGAGGTGCCTCAAAAAATTAAAAATAGAAATACCATATGATCCAGTAATTCCCCTACTGGGTATTTACCCAACGAAAACAAAAATATTCAAAAGATATATGCACCTGTGTTTACTGCAGCATTATTTACAGTAGCCAAGATATGGAAGCAACCCAGTGTCCATCGGTAGATGAGTGGTAAAGAAATGAATGATGTATGTATGTGAAATAAAAGGTGTAAGAAGATTTAAAGAAATAGGGGCACCTGGGTGGCTCAGTCGATTCAGCGTCCGACTCTTGATTTCTGCTCAGGCCATGATTTCAGGGTTGTGAGATGGAGCTCCACGTTGGGCTCTGTGCTCAGTGGGGAGTCTGGTTGGGATTCTCTTCTCTCCCAATGCCCCTTCCCCACTCATGCGCTTGCTCATGCTCTTTAAAATAAATAAAAATCTTTAAAAAATAATTAAAAAGGCAAAATATGTTCCCTTAAAAATTTGGCAAATATGACTTTTTAGAGGGCAAAAGTAACATCAGAAAGGGCTATTAGAGATACGGAAGGCTTTTCATTATATAAATATTACAGTCTTTATGGAAATCCCAAATTGTCCCCAAAAGTAAAGAATCCAAATAAAACCAATAACCATAAAAGTTGAAATAGTATTCAAAGATTTTGTGCCCCCAAAATGGACACTAAGTCCAACTGTTTCGTGGAGAGTCTTAGCAGATCTTCAAGAAACATAATTCCTGTTGCAGAAAGCATACCAGTGCATAGAACATGATGGCAAGCCTTCCGACTGTTGTCACTGTATAAAGTCAGCATGGGCCCTGACCGCAAACTGCACTAGGCCAGCACTGGAACAAAACTATGGTCAGCATCGCTTATATGGATGTAAGTCAAATATAGCCATTCACCCTCAAAATACAAGATACTTCAATACTGAAAAAAAAAAAAACTATCAACATAACTCACTACTTGAGATCATCTGCAGTAGAGGAGGAAAGCTACGTAATATAATGGCCATGTAATGTCACTATGTGCCCCGAAGCCGTCAGTAAAATGTAGTACCCATTTATGATGTAAATCTAAGTACAGTTATGAATAGAATTTTCCTAACATGATAAAGGTTAAGTAATTCTACTTAATAATGAACTATGAGAGGCATTCCCATCAAGGTCAGCAATAAGAGGGGTGCTTACGATTCTCCACTAACTTTTAGCATTGTACTGAAGATCCTTATTAATACAGTAAGGTTGGAAAGAACCACCCAGATCTTCTATAGATGATAAATATGTGTATCTATATGAGGACATACTAGTAGCAGGTAAACAAAATGATAGAGCCCAAAAACATTTTTAAAGAAAAAAATTGCAAAATATGTTCAATAAGTAGTATAAATTTACATAATGACACAAAAGGTAACAGTATTTCTCTGTGCATTCCATATGTACAAAAGAGGAGAAAGATGCCCTTTCAACTTCCCGCAGAGGTTATCTCTGAAGATTGGGTTGGGTGATGAAAGAGAGCTTTGACAATTCCATTGAGCTATTATTTTGTCAAAAAGAAGTGTGTTAGTTGTGTAGTTAAATTCATAAGGTGTCCGTGCTAAGAGCTGTGTAGCTATAAAGAGGATTGTGGGGGTTGTCATTCTTAATAATGAGAGCTGCCGATAGCTGGAGAAAAATGCAGACCTCAGCGTGGAGGTAGGAAGTTCTCTGCTGTGCAGAGAGGGAGGGCAGGAACAGACTAAGACGGAGGAGCTCAGACGCCAGCCACAGGGCCCCAGGCTTTCCTCGACACCCCCCCCCCGCCTGCCCCACGCATTCCGCCCCATGCAACCTTTCAGCCTCACTGTCCCATCTTTTGGCAGGAGCAGATCAGGCCTCGATAACTGCCCGGAATCACATTCAGTTGGTGAAGTCGCAGGTACAGGAAGTGCGTCAGCTGTCCCAGAAAGCAGAGACCAAGTTGGCAGAAGCACAGACGGAGGAGCTCCGTCAGAAAACACAGGAGGAAGGGGACGAGAGGGCCGAGCCGGAGCAGGAGGCCTACCTGCGTGAGGATTGAGTGCCCGGCTGCTGCCCACGTCTGCGGGCTCAGCCTGGGGAAGGCGGGGCCGGCCCAGCCTTCCCTGCACGGAGAGGACACAGCAGGTCCTGCCCTGGCCCATCAGGCCCGAGGCAGTAGTGAGCTGGGAGCGCCTGCACCCCCCCACCCCATGGACCTGGTTCTTACCCCTGGGGCACTGCACCCTGTTTAACATTTGACCCCAGTCTGCACAGCTTCCCATGCACCCATCCTTTTACCTCTCACCCAGGGCATCTCGGCAGCCTGGCCAGAGAGAGGGGTCCTTTTTTGTCATGCCCAGACAAGTTCAGTAGCTGTTTAACTTCCGTTTCCAGTCTTACATTTTCAAATATGATTTAGTCTTTGCTCCCCCCATAGGAATGTGCATTTTGGGGGGGGGAGGGGAGCCTGTTCATAAGATTTCTTTTTAAGTGTTTCTAATGCCTTCTGTGATCTAGCCCCATTGCCTGTAAGGACAGCGAAGCCTAGGAGCCAAAAGTCCATTATCCTTAAGGAACTGAAAGTAGAGCGTTTACCTGGTGCTCAATAGGACACGTTCCAACACATGCTTCTTGTTTCCTTCTTTCCTTCGAGTTTCTCTATTGTATCTGAAGGAGAATAATTTTTGTTTTGCACTTCAAAAAGAACATGTTTGTGTGTATATTCTGGGGCCCTGTGCAGCCTCTTTCCTTCACCTCCCAGACTGGCAGAGCCCCAAGGGGCTCCAGGAACTACCCCACCCCTCCACCCCCGCCCCAGCACCCGAGTTCTGGCAGCATTTGCTAAGCCAAATTTGGCTCCCATTCAACACATGCTGGGACAGGTGAAGCCAGGTTTCAGTGTTTTTAATCAGAGTGAGCAAGGTTGGGGTGGGGGTTACAAAAATGAAGTCAGCATTTCCTATAGACCATCAGGGTCAAGTGTCAAGTTCTCAATTTGTCATCATGACAGGAAAATCAACACTGGGTCTACTCACTCAACCCGCCCCTCGGAGTCGAGGCAAGGGGGCTGCTGCACATTTGAGCCCCTCATCTGTCACCAGCGCCCACATGGTCCACATCTCCGGGGGGCTGAGGCGGTGCACCAGTAGGAGCCCCCGGTACAGGCAGGGGTCTAGGGGGTCCAGGGGCCGCCGTATTCCAAATGTCTTAAAGCCAGCATGGTGCATGGGGCTCACCCCCAGCTTCCTCAGGCACATGCCCACAAAGACATCATCGATGGGGAAGAGTTCAGCCTCTTCCACGGCTGCTTGGAGGCGCTGCACGGTGGCTCTGGACATGACATATCCCCCACCCCCAGCGTAGGGTGGGTAGTGGCGGGCCCTGTACATGGACGGGGGGATGAAGTATTTGACCTTGGTGTTCCTGTTGGGCAGGGCCTGGCGGATCACGTCTCCCACCAGGAGGTCCCGGGCTGGGTCCCAGCCCTCCAGGAACTCCAGCACGTTGGGGACATGGACGAAGACATCGTCATCTCCCTTTAGCACGAAGTGGGCCTGGGGACAGGCAACTGCCACCCAGCGCTGCAAATGCAGCTCCTTGAGGGTCAGGTTGAAGAAGTCCTCCGCAAAGTCCCATTGCAGGATATCATCAAACTCGCGACTCTCGTAGGCCAGCAGCTGCGCGGGGGGCGCGGGTCCCGCCACCCCCAGGAGGAACACCAGCTTCAGCTGCCGGCCCCTGGCCCAGCCCCCGCCCCGGCCCCACGTGCTGCGGATAGCCGCACGCCGCTCCACGTGGCCAGGCTGCGACTTGATGGCCAGGAGCAGGAAGGTGTCCTCGGCACAGCCTGAGGGCTCCAGCAAGATGGAGAAGTTGCGGCAGTGGCGGTAGGTCAGGAAGAGGCGGTGCCGGCCAGGCAAGGACAGGGAGACGTTAGCCACCGTGTGGTTGGGGGCACACTGGCTGCGGCGGGGCCCCGGGGGAGCCCAGAAGGGCTGGCGGGCCGCGGAGTCCCCCGACGGCGTGGCCTCCTTCTTCAGGAAGAGCAGGCCGCTGAGCAGCAGCACAGCCAGGCTGGACGGGACCAGGCAGCCCAGCCTGCGGGACATGGCAGGGCCTGCAGGGAGAGCGCCGCGTGAGCAGGCCGCCACCCAGCCGCGAAGTTCCTGCTGGCCTGCCCTTTATTTACTTTTCTCAGCGCATCCTCTGGCTCTTTCCAGAGTCCCTGTCCCCCGGACAGGCCAAGCACACCTACGCCAGCCCTTGCCTTCTGCGGTCTTCAGAGGGCTCTCGTGAGCTTTCTCCCCCAAAGGACTTGCAGCTGCTTTGAACCCCAGGCACCATGGGGCGCCTGGCTGGCTCAGGCAGAAGAGCATGGGACTCTTGATCTCGGGTGGTGAGTTCGGGCCCCACACTGGGTGTCGAGATGACTTAAATTAACTTAATAAAAATAAAAAAACCAAAAACCTGAAGCACCACAAGCACTTTTAGCATTTCCCAGGAAACTCCAGTATCTTCTGGTGAAAATGGCACAGAGCTAGTTTAGTTTCCAGTGAAATTCATTCTAAGCACAAAACCTGACATTCAGGGCCCTTGAGTCCAAAATCAAACCATTCCCACCCCCCCCCCCAAAAGTGTGCGCTCTAATCTGTTGGTGGCAGGCCCTGTGTTAGGTCTCCCAGAGAGGACAGCCCCGGGCACTGCCCTTAGTTTGCTCCTCCTGAGACAGGCAACCACAGGACACATCCTTCACATTGGCCTCAAGTTTCTTCCCGCAGCTTCTTGGAAGGTTTCTTGGAGTCACTTAAAAGCGGGTTTTAAGAACAAACCCCTTGCACGGAAGAGCAGGAAAGCCGGAGACCTGTGCCGAGCTGCCTGCCCTGCGGCCGCGGTGGCCCATCCCTCCCCGCCACGCGGCTCTGGTTCTCTCGGCAAGCACCCCGAGGACCGAGAGAAGGCCCAGAAATGGAGGCCGGGAGACGGACCGGCCCAAGATCAAGGGCAGCAAAGCCAGGCCTCGAGCCCCTCCCCTTCACCTCAGCTGCCATGTGGTCCTTGTCCAACAGGCCTTCACTTCTACCCGGTCCGCCCGCGGTCGCCCCATCCCGGTCCCACACCGCTTCCGGCCGCCGGGGACGCGGAGGCCGCCACGACAGGCAGGGCCGCGGAGGACAGAGACCAAACAAAACCAGTCCCGACTTGAGACGGTGCTGAGAAGAAACGGAAGCAGCGTAAGGGACCGCAGCGACTGGGTTGGAGGATTCCAGCCTGTGGTGGTCCAGAAAGCGCTCCTTGATAAAGGGCATCTGAGCAAGGGCTGAACGGAGGGGCCAAACCGCAAAGACCGGGGGGGTGGGGGTGGGGGTGGGCAGGAGTGCCAGGCAGCGTCACGGAGCTCCCGGAGTCGGAGCAGGCGCGACGGCTCGGCGGCCAGGAGCGTGCTGCGGCCGGAGGATGAGGGGCAGGGGGAGCGGGCACAAAGGGAAGGGGAGCTCGGGCCTGAGAAGGCCCCGGTGAGGGGCGCGCGGCGGCCTGGGTTTACTGCAACCTCGGGACAGACCCACTGGAGGACTCGGCGGAGGCGGTGACAAATCACACTGCTTGAGAGGTTCCTCCTGCGGCGGCTTAGATGGTGGATCACGAAAGGGAAGGCGAAGCAGGAGACCAGCTAGGGAACGGCTGATTAGTCAAGCCCACGCCGCAGCTGGGACGGGCGCCGGGGCTGCGGCGCGGGCGAGCGGGAGGGCTTCCAGCTGCGGGCGGGGAGCCTGGGCCTGCGGCGCACCCCCCCCCCCCGCCTCACCCCCGGGCCAGTCCCCCCCCCCCCCCCCCCGGAAAGACTGCGGAGCCAGGCTCCCCACCGCTCACACTACTGTGAATCCGAATTCAGTACCCGCCCCGTGTAGGTCTCCATACGGCGAGCCCCCAGGAGCCCGGTTCTTAACCCCTCGTGGGCTTCAGCGAGGGCACGACCCCCCCCCCCCCGCAAGTGTGCTGCCGAGTCCCAAGGGTCTGCAATTGTTTCTGGCGGGGACAGCCGTCTCGGGTCCTGGGGGCTCGGCGACCCAACACGCTCCGGTAAGGGAAAGTGCCAAGGGCTAGTTCATTCCACGCGACAGCCTCTAACTGGCTGTTGTGGGGGCCGAAGGCCGGCGGGGTCGTCGGAGCAAAGAGCAGGGGCCCCGCGGCGGACACCCCTCCCGGTCCACGAGGCCCGGTTCCGGCCGTTCGGGCCCCGGCGGGCGAGCACAAGCCGAGGGGCAGCAGGAGGCCGCCTGGCCCCGACGGCCCACTGGGGGAGACGACCCCGCCGCCAGACCAGCGCCCTCGCGGACGCGCGGACCCTCCGGCCCGGTGAGACGCGCCTGACCCCGCAGCGGTGGCCCCAGGCGCCCCCGGGCCCGCTCAACCCGCCCCCTGCGGACCTACCTGAGTCGGGACGCGGGGCCAGCGACAGGCGAGGAGCTCGCGCGGCCGAGCCGGGACCCGGGGCTCTAGCCTCGCACCGCCCGCTCGGCTGGGGCGGGGCTCCGGGGCGCCGCGGGACCCCTCCCACACGGGGCTTCGCGCACCCGCCGCCCCGCGCCCCCTGCCGGTTCCCCGCTCCCCGACGCGGCGGCCGCACGGACGCGGAGCCGCGGTCGTCGGAAGAGCCTTTAATCCGGCGCCCTACAGGGCGATCTCCCGGAGCGCCTCCTCGGCCGAGCGGTACTGGTTCAGCTGGATCTGCACCTCCACCGTCAGCGGCTGGGGCTGGTAGTCGCTGTCGTACGTTGGAGCCGCAGATTTTTTTTCTGAGAAATAAAAACACGAGTATGTGAGTCCCGAGAGACGAGCGGGCTGCTTCTCGGCCGCCCTGGACGGGCTCCAGGGGGAGCGCGCTTTGGGAGGCCGAGATTCCACCCTCGGGTCTTAACCGTCGGGAGGAACACAGTTAAATCGCATCTAATCAAATCCCTGAACAAGGCGCAGCTGTGTTGAGCTGCAAGCTGAACCCGCTGCTTGTGTCTTGGAGCACCGTCTTCACTTGAAAGGACACTGACAAACCGCGGTTATTCAGACGTGAATGTTTGGCAGGTTATTTTCTAAAAAGCGAATGAAGTCTGGCATTTCAGGGAAAACAACGGAAAGCATTTTGATAAATTTATAACCTCTGAGCTTTCAAGTAGAAATTAGAGTTTTGAAACACTGTATCTGCCACCATGAACCTAACAGTTTCCCAATACTCAAAGACTCTTCTGATGATATGGGTGCTGATAAAGAATGTGATTTTTGGAATGTATAATGAAATGTGTCAACAGTTGGAAGATCTGCATAACTCAGCGAACCAGTATTTTACAAATAACCAAATGCCTGATGTTACAAATTGTGCATGAGTTAAGATAGCCCCTCAAAACGCAACGTAAAAAAAAAAAAGGCAGTGTAGACCAATGGATTTTAACATAACTGACTACGAAAAAATGCATTCACATAGATTGTTTTCGCTCCGTAACAGCCTTTAAAAAACTACTAGTTGTCAAATTTGACATAATATCAAAGAAAAATACCCAGTTATTTGAAAACCTATTTTAACATATTCCCTTTTCCAGTTACATGTCCATATGAGATTGGATTTTCTTCATACACTTCAAACACTGCAACACAAGAGATTAACAGCAGAGGCAGCTATTCCAATGCAACTGTCAATTAAGCCAGACAATAAAAAGATTTGCAAAAGTGTAAAAAA